AACGATTGCACCATCCGTGCGCGTCACGATATGGGGCAGTAGCTTGGAAAGAGAACATTGCGCGCAAACGAAGAACGGATGAAATCCCATCGGCATTACTTGCCCGCTTTCTCTTTTCCCTCTTCCTTCCCTTCCTCTAACCTTGTTTCTACAGATGAATATTTATACAACCATAATGATTTTCCATAAAGCTATACACGATCCAGTTGCATACTTCGCTGGTTGCTTGTTAGTATTGTATCACTTTCTTCCCGAAATTTGTTTCATGAATCGCGTGAGTATAAATTGACCATACAATTAAAGTCAAGCCAGCTAACTTTCAAACTGCAATTAGAAGCAATTTCTTATAACTGCCAGTAATGTCGTAATAAAAGATTCAACGATAAACGATTTTGGCGCGCAACTCACGCACATTTGCGTCAAGTAAAAATTCCGGCGTCGTTATTTCTAAGATCTTGGTGCGCGTAAACTCTGTACGGATTTGGCGGTTAGACAGACCGCCCTGACACAATACAAACCGCTCTTTTAGGAGCCACCCGATAAGAAAAGTCGTGACCAATAAATTTGTTTCCCTTTATGCGTGAATTAAAATTGTATATCCTTCACTCGTTCTGTTAAACAAATCGCGCATCACTATAAAGTATTGAAGCGCGAAGAACAGCACATCCCATGCAATGGAATGATGAATAAAGTCGCCCAATCATTCTATCGCATGGCAGCCCTGACTCGCTTTCACTGTTCTCTCTCAAGCCTTGTTTTGCCATTGTAATATTTAAAATGATCATGGTTTCCTTCCAAGCTACACATCGTCAAGCTGTATTTTCCAAGCACGCCTGTTTAATACATTTTTTTCCTATCTGATTTTTGTTTCGTCGTTCAAAACCAACGGCTCTTTTAGGAGCCACCAAATATTATGAAAGTCAATTATTAACGCAATACGAGCTTTAAAAAATGATAATGTTTCCCCTAGTATCAACCATGATAGTTCCGATCAAGTTTAAGTCTGCTTTGTTCGTCAGTTCGGTTTTTAAACGGACCGCACAAACTGTATTCTTGACGAAACGAAACAAAATATTTCAAATGAGGAAGCACAGCAAACATGAGTCATAGATGGACTGGGAAAGGAAGGGAAGATTATTGTTCATGATTCATCTTACGAAATGTCACACTGAACATGAATGCTTTGAAGAGTCAGTGTTTTTTAAATTTTTTCTTTAAATTGACAAGAGTAACTACTCGATCACTTACTGTCTGACCAAACGCTGGTTTATTCCAGAAACAAGATCAATGTACAATGGATCTCCGGAGTTCAGCGCTTTCCTTAGCGACTTACCTACTCAACGCGGCTGGATTTTAACACAAATATATGCAAGTAAATGATTGAATGAGCTACGAGAAACAGGCGGCCTGACTTAACCTGAGAAGTAGAGTCAGACATTTACCTCACCCCTTTTACCTCTGAAGGTTGTTTGGCTCTTTTTTATCTTTGTCTGTAGGCAGGGAGAACGTGATGCGTGACGAGATTATTAACATCGCTATGTAACTTGTGTATCTGTCATGGCGTGTCTGTAGCAAAATTGTTAGAATTACAAAAACAAAAAATTTACGTGCCTATTCGAAAATTGACGCGTTGTGCGCTCTTATAGCAGCCAATTTCTCATTTAACCTAATTCTGAATGACGATTAAGCGACCATTAATGGGTAAAACTGGAGTGAGGGCCATAACCTTAATTATCGGAGAGTTGTACTGGAACATCTAAGACGGTTTTATTACTCAGTTGGTCATAACTTTTCCTTTTATGTGGTGGCTCCTAAAGGAGCCGTTTGATGGTATGAAGCGTTGATATCCTCCTTATTTCTTGGCCGCCTTCTTCGGTGATTTCTTCGCTGCTTTCTTGACGGGCTTTTTAGCTGCGGGCTTCTTCGCTGCGGGTTTTTTGGC